GACGCGATCGGTACCGCGCGCGAGACAGCGTAATCGGCTATACCCTCTGCGAACGAAATCGAGCGAGCCTGCCGCTACGACCACCCTCGATCGAGCGAGAACCGAGCGACGACCAGAGTCGACGAAGCGATTTCTTGCCAATTTGTGGTCGCATCGACGAACGACGCGCTGCGTACACGCGTCTAGGTAAATCGGCGCACGTCGTCCGATCAGGCTACGCAGGATTTCGAAACGGAGCGCGATTCTACCATGGGTATAGTGGCACCTCGAAGCTACGACAAACGTTCGACCGGTAGTTGTTGCTACTTGCGAGCTACGCTGCAAAACAGAAGTCGTTTGTTCTACTCTCCGAGTCTTCGAGGGAAGTGCGTCAAGACGGAAGTAAAGCGAGCAATGGGAAGAGAAGTAACGGACGATGAGAATGATCAAAACAAGGTTATCGATGAAGCATGATCGACGTATGCGCGAACTAGGTGATCGAAACGGGATCGAAATAAAACAGTAGAGACAAATAATAGCCAGCGACCGTGCGAGCGATAGAAACAGAAAGGAAGATGGAGAGAGAGAGAGAGAGAAAGAGAGAGAAAGAGAGGGCGGGAAAGAGAGACACAGAGCGACACAGAGAAAGAAACAAACAGAGAGAGAGAGAGAGAGAGAGAGAGAGAAAGGAAGAATATACGCCGGATGTCACGTATGCACGGCGAGATGAACGAGATGAGCGAGCGAGTGAGTGAGTGTGTGTGTTGGGGGATGACACCTACCAAACGCCGGTTCGTCGATTTCTCCTCGACGGCGCGACGGGCGCCACTATACCCATAGAAGCCTTTGTAGAAATCGCCCTGGTCCGCCACTGAAACAGAGACAGGATGCCAAACGTTAGGGGTGCTTCTAGTCGTACGCGTGCGCGCCTAAAGCAAGCGGCGCCTCCAATCCTTTCGTTCTTTTCTCAGACGTGGATAGTCGAAAAGAGCACGATGTATCGCATCGGTCCTCCCGATGCGCTACCATCGCGTAGCGCGCGTCTGTTCGCGCGTACCGTTCTTGAATCGCGGATACCGCCCGATCCCCAACTTGCTACCACGCGAATGGCAAAACCATGCATCGTAGGCCCATTTCGGACTCGGGCGAATTTCCACACAGGCTCCTCTGTTTTCTATGTGTACGCGGCACCGCTCTCTCGGCTACCAACTTTCTCCTCCCCTTTCCGATTGCGAACAGAGAAAATGGTCGCGCGAGAGCGGCAAACGGCAAAGAGTGCGATGCCAAGCGCGCGTTCGCGCTCTCGACGAGAAACTCGCCGATCCAGCGTTCCCGCGACCGCTTAGCCGGCCGTCGTATCTCCTTCGATTTCTTCCTTACCAATCGCCGTGGCTGCTTCACCAAGGGTCGATTCATTCCGTTCATCTTGTGGTAGAGACCGCACGCGTTGCACAGGTAGTGGCCCGTACCGTCTCGTCGCCAAAGCGGAGTGGAAATTGCGCCGCAATTTACGCACTCGCGTCCCTCCGTAAAGTATTCCGCCTCGATGTTGTGCACTGTGCGATTTGTACAGTTTCAATATCGAATCTTCGTTCGTCGTGCCGCTCCTAAGCGGCCATCGATGTTTTCCGTATTCGGTCGGTTTTTCCCTCCGTGAAATTTACCCATCGGAGACCGGCGATTTCGAAATCGCGTGATTTCACCTCGAAACGGTTGAACGTTGGAGAAGCAGGAGAGAAGAAAAGGACGGGACAGGGATACGCGAAAGCACGCTGCTTTGTACGCGCCAACGATCCGACGCGTCCGATGACCAACGCCTGGCCGGAGAAAGTACTTTGAACGCGAAACGCCCGCAGCCACGTGGTTTCCAAGGTATTTCGTGGAAAATACCCGCGGCGATCGTCGATACCGAAAAATTTCGTTTTTCTATTTTTCCATCGCTCGCAGGCAATCGCGCGACTTTTATCAGAGACGCGCGCGCGCAACCGCGACTTTCACCAGCGACGATTCTACCAAGCGACTCTCGCCGAGATTCGTCGAAATTCGCCAAAGTTCGTTAAAATTACGCCGAAATTCGCGATTTCGTCCCGTCGATCGAACGGAAGACAGACGCGAAACGAGAAACAAAGGCGAAACGCGCGCCGGGGAAGGATACAGGAAACGTAGGAACGCGCGACAAAGGATGTCGAGGGATATGGCGTTATCAGAATTTCCGCTGTTTCTCGATAACAATAACTAGCGGTCGTTGCGAGTACGCGCGACGTGTACCGCTACGTCCAGCTATTTAAATACGTCACGACGACGAACGGTATATCGTTGGCACGGATTTCCACCATCGTTGCTGCTATTACCGAAGAAAAAAAAAGAAAAAAAGAAGAAAAGGACGAGATACGATCGACGAAGCGACGAACGTCGACGAGAGACGTAGCCACGACGAGATTCGGTCTCGCGTTACTCTCCGAGACGGCGACATCGAAACGAGAAGAGGACGAAAAGGTCGGCGTACCGGTAGTCGCGTATCCGGCAGAAACGGGACTGGGAAGCAATCGGATATCGTATATTAGTAAGCAAAATGTAGCTGACGTCAGCTGCCATCATCTTACGATCTCTAGCCGCTCTCAACGACGCGATACCGAGACGCGAAGAAACGGAGAAGCCGGACAGGCGGAGGAAAAGCGCAAAGACGCGGAAAGCGTCTTCCTTCCGACGCGTTTTTAACTCGCTTACGAGAATTACGATGTACGCTTCTCGCGGATTCTGTTTGAACGAAGGGTACGAGAGCGGTCGGTAACGTTATCCCTTTGCAGGGCCGACGTCGTTGCGACAGAGAGACAGCGATGAAGCGGATCATCGTCGGTGTGTGCCCGCACGGAAATGCTAGATATTCTTCGTCGTAACCGAATATTCGACGATGACCAAGACGCCATACACGCACGCACGCACGCACGCACGCACACGCGCACACACACGCACAGGGAAGATGACGAAGCGACGGGGAATGAGAATGGCAGAGTCTAATTACTTGACGAAGCAGTGCCGTAAGGGGCGCGGGCATCCGCGAGCTCTCCTCCTTTTATCGAGAGGGTGAGAGGGAGCGGAAAGCTAAGGTACGAGTCGAACGAACAACGCTACGATACGCGAGATACGCGTAAAAGCGGGATGGTACGAGGAGAATCGATGCGAAAAAAAGGGGAGAAGCGAGCGCGTACGATTCGGGATAGAAGAGACGACGCGGAGAGACGGGAGAAAGCCGAAAACGGGACGGTGAAAAAACGAAACGCACGAGCTCGCGAGATCGTTGCGATAAAGAGAGAAGCGATTCGAGCGTACTCGAACGGAAAAGGCCACGTGCGTGCAGTTCAGGTTGGTGGAGGGCGCGAGCAAAGAGAGACGAAACAGGACAGGACACGTCGAAGCGACTCGACGAGGTCTGGCGAGCAGAGTCAAAGTTAAACCGAGAGCAGGCGCGTGGTCGATCGTAGAGATTCGCCCCGTCGTTCTTCGTTCGCGC